ACCCACACTGCCTCCCAAACCAGAGGCCAAACATCCAGTAGTCTCTTTCTCCCCCCATTCATGTCCCGTCCAGGCCTCTACAGTCTCTCATTTCTTGGTGCTGACCGCTTTAATGCACTACCCGCTATCATTCGATCCCAGCGTACCTTGCCTGCTTTTCGCGCTAGCTGCTCACAATTTCTCCTTGGGCACCCTGTAAGAAGGTCATAGGCCTGTTGGGTATACCCAAGTAAAATAATAAATACTACTGCTACTACTACTAGGAAGTACTTTTCTGTCTTCCCTTGTGGGTTCGTCTTATCGGGTTTTGACTGTATTTGTAGGTACAACAAACCCTGCGAATAGCCACCCGTGACCGAGCATGAGAAAAGTATTGTTTTTCCCGAGTTGTCGTTCATCGGGTGCTTAGAGATATGCAGTCAAGGGGTTCTTTTGTCAGAGGTTAGTGTCGTTATTCGAGAGTTCTTGGTGCGTACACTGTTCTTTTTGGTGAGGCTGACGGTATGTGTGCATTAATTTTAGTTTCATACGTTGTGGCTGTATGTTCTTGTGTATGTGTTTGGCCACTCAGTTGGAAGCGCACGACAAAGTGTGTCCCAATGTGACCGTCAAATGCCCATTTCAGTACGTCGGAACTGGTTGCGTCCACGAGGTAAGATGCTGCTTGTGTGAGATTAGTCACCATCAGTCCTACAATGCTTTGCCACGTTAACATAGGGGCGTCAGGCGAAATAGCACGTCATCGTACATTTGAGATCAGCGGGAAGAAGATGACGACGTCCACTAATTTAGTATTTGTGCACACGAATCTGCTGTGTGTGTGACTCTGTGTGTCAGCTATGATATCATCTTCTGTGGTTCCATGCCTAGCATGTACGTCTGAACCATCCTGCAAAGTTTGAATGACGTAGCTTGAGCGATCGCTCCGCGAAATATACTTTTTGAAATTCTCTTCATAGTATATCTTCCACCATTGAAATTTCGAATTTCTTCAAAAAAAGTGCTGAGAGGGGTGGCTTGCAACCTCGATATGGCTTGTTCCAGGCATGCTTTGGAGCCATCTTCTGTTGAAGTAGTGGCGGGGATCTGCCCTGCAACTGCTACAACAAAAAATGATTCGATCTGAGAAAGGGTGAGACCGCGAATCTCGGTTGAATATTGAGTATTTCAAGCCTTTTCACGACGAAGATGGAGTTCTTTTTGGAGATGGACGTCGCGGCAAAGGACATGGTGTCCGACGTCTGGCGTCTGGTGAAGCCAGGGATCATTTGTCCATTCAGGTCGGCAGCCTAACCGTCGGTAAGCTTGTGTTTGGATCCCGTTCTGCTCGATGTGGTAGATCACAAACAATTTGATATCGCACAAATTGATCTCAGCATTGTGCGTACGGTATTTTATATTCAGAAAATCCCAAAGTGTCTCTGTGTGGCCGTCATATGCCACGAGAAACTCCAATCAGGCTCCTATGTCCTCTGCCTTCATGATTGAATGTCCACTTCGTTTGAACAACGAACACAACAATCGAGGACGGCTTTGCAATGAAAAATACAGCTATACTGGAGCTGAAAAAAAGAAGAAAAAAACGTGCTCAGGATGAGACTCGAGTACACGCATACTCTCCCAGCAGGTGAAACGCAATTTTTTGTGAAAAATGCGTGACGCCGACTGACCAGTAATTTCGCCTGACGTGTGGGGCTGGGGGGGGGGGGGGGGGGGTATCTTACCTAGAAAATAACCCATAACACTTGGTAGGAGCACAAACTTCAGGTTCCTCTAGCAGGGGCGGATCCAGAGATCTCTCTCTATAGGGGGTTCCAGTTTAGCCAACACTGAATAGCTGATACATGCACAGGTGCCTGCATATGGTTTCCAGTAGTACATATGAACAATTTAGGGGGTTCCCCCGCCCCTGTCTAGTAGGAGAACAAACTTCAAGTTCCTCAGCAACATCCGGAAATATTTTCAGTAGTGAACTTCCGTGCCTTTTCTCCTGGTGATATACTGGCAAGGCCAAGGGGAGCAAGAACAAAGGGCAAGAAGAACAGCTAAACACAACAATGATGAATGTGTGACCCATACGCATAGGAATAATGCCAAAAAATGGTGGAAGTGCGTGAAAGATAGTGCCGCAACAATAGACAACCACTGCACATACCTGAAGACAATGGACATAACTGACCAGTTGTCGACGATCTACCGGTCAATCTAAGTGTGATTTGATGAACTCTTAGTTATGTCCATTGGTTGTCTATTTCTTTCAGGCATGTCCAGTGGTGGTCTCTTGTTGTGGCACTACATTTCACAGTGGTGGTCTCTTGTTGTGGCACTACATTTCACGCCTGTTAGGTTTCTACAGGCGGGCACCTTTTTTTCCCATTCTTTCTTTGAGTATGGGTCACACAGTCATGATGATTGGTGTGTTTAGCTGTTCTTCTTTGCGCTGTTTTATCACCTCTTTTCTCTACTTGATTCGTTGTTCTTGCTCCCTCTTCCTCTTGAACCTGAAGTTTGCGCCTATTTATTTTCGGCTATTTTCGGCCTGGTCATGTTAGACCGGAAATTTGTTGCGGCCGAAATTTTGTTCTGCAAGGTTCAGTGGTGACAGTGTATACAGGCAGTACAGCAGTTCAGGCCGAAAATTTAATGCAGCCAAAATTGGTTTTAGCCCTGGGAGGCCGACATTTGAATGGGCCGAAAATTCGTCTACTTACAGTACTTTAGAAATGTGGGTGTTCACCCAACCATACCGTGGAGAATCAACGCTGGTAGAAAATGAAATAAATAGCCACCCAGAAATACAGAGCGGCAACGCTTCGAAATTTCACCACCGAAGTCCGGAAAGCGCGGCCATGTTTCCTTGCTGTAATTGTGTGGGTTGGCAATGTTATGACTACCGGCGAGTGTGAGCAGGCCACCGTGTAGCTCTACTATCGGTGTACAGGCAACCACTGTCACTTGTTGAACAACTATGCTGGAATGGTAACTATGTTCCGTAGCTTAGTGGTGGAGCATTGATTGCGTACGGCAAACCTCCCAGGTTCGAGTCTGGTGGTGTCAGTACTGAAGTGTTTGCAGACCCCCCCCCGGGCTATCTTCAACTCCTTAGGCTCGGTGAGCATATCCCCTCTTTCCCAGATCAATGTCACTAGTACTAAACACCAAGACGAAGACGATCGAGGGCAGTTTTAGTGCTGTGCAGTGTGAGCCAGAATATTTGCTTCTACTGGTAGTAGCTGTTCTTCCAATGTGATACTATTATGTGCGGGCGTGCACGCGTGAATGTATAATAATGTAAGTGCCTGGAATCGGTTGCAAACATGTGTATGACTGTGTACGACTGTGCTGTATGGCGGTGTATGGCTGTGTATGACGGTGTATGACGGTGCATTGACTTGTGTTGTACATGCGTGTCCCATCTTGTGTTCAGTGCATACGGGCAGATCTTGATCAGCATTGCCAGCAGCAGAGCATGCAGCACAACCTCATGATGGTACAGAGCATTGACATGCTGACCAATCGCCTATGGCAGGTCAGTGCACGCTTTCCGATACCTTTTTGCACATGTGTGAAGCTTTTCTTCTAACCCAGATGGCGGCTACGCGTGTGTTTTGGTTTTTTGTGTGCAACATCTACAGTCCATTCATTGGAAACTGGAACCCTAATTTTGTAGTGTCTCCCGCACATAGTTGTAGATATCGTGAAAACAACAGTACATCCTGCATCGTATGAACCGTGCAATTACCCCTTTCCATATTCGAGTCCAAGGGAAATAATTCAGCCAGGTTCTACAAAATTAGGACAGGTATGCCATGGCAACATGTATGGAGAAGCAGGTCCCGAACCCAGATTTTTTCGATTCGAAGTGGGTTAGTGATCCTCAATTCAGCCCAAATCCGACTTTCAAAAGCCAGCGGGACTGTTTACGATGAACGGACGGTAGCGTGTACTACATCCCTTCTGGTCTCTGCTGTTGACCGTGTTGTAGGTTGCTGGCAGTCCTGTCGAAGAGCGTCGCACCGTTCACATCCACATCTTTGACAAAATCTCCCGTCGTCTTCGCTATGGCCGTCCGTTTTACAGCGACGCCTTCTACATCGGTATGTTGTGTGGAGTTGGCCGTGTTGCTGCCTCTGCCAATGTTTACTGTGAATTTGTTGACGTGTTGATGCCTCTGCCAATGGTTACTGTGAATTTGTTGACGTGTTGATGTCCGAGGCCACGTCTTGTAATATGTTTACTGCTGTGTTCTCAATTCCTGTTCATAGCCTAAGTAATGATGATGTGCTCTGTGTCTATGTAACTCTGCAACAGTAGTAACATGTAGTGTGTGTGTGTGTGTGTGTGTGTGTGTGTGTGTGTGTGTGTGTGTGTGTGTGTGTGTGTGTGTGTGTGTGTGTGTGTCGACCCCAGCAAGTGTAGGTTGCGCCCATAGGTTACTGTCTCGATCTGTTTCATTCAGATCTTGTCTGCTTTCGTTACTATTAGAGAAAAATCTGCGGGTGCTTATCCATTGCATTTGCAGAGTTGCGTGCTTCTCTTGTGACGGGCGTATACATGGTACATGGTGGTTTGTGGTGTGTATTTCTGTGTACTTCTGTAACCTGTATGTAGATTGTCTGTGTATATCCCTCTGCGTGCAGGTCCATGCGACAGTGGGTATCGGCTTCGCATGAAGATCGACCCAAGCGATAGCCAACTTGGACTCTCCTTTTACTATGCACTAGTAAAGGTAAGATGCCAGGACCGGCATTCCTCTGAACATTGCTGAGGTGGTATAGGGCTTGAAACGATGACCTCCGAAGTACAGTCAACTTTGCGTATAACGACACTCGGCCGGGCATCAGAAAAGTGTCCTTATGAGTGTCGTTATACCCGAAAGAATGGACTTTGCTCTGGGCATGGAAAATCTGTCGCTATTCGCGAGTTGTCGTTATCTCCACAGTCTTTATCAGCGAAGTTGACTGTAGCCAGAAGTCAAAATCTAACGGCAAATACGGACTTTTGGATCTTTATCTTCCTCATTCTTTCAATAATTTCCTAAAAAGGAGTCGAATATTAGCCATTTAATATTATTCCATACATGTACTGTAGCTCTCTTTATTCAGACGGCAGTGGTGAATACGATCACTAGCAGACATGCTCAGGAGGTCGCATGGTACAAGTACTATTTTAGCAGGGAAAAACGCCCAAAGTTATATCTCGTGTTGTTTATAGTGTTGTTCGCCTGCTGCTGTTTTTCTCCGCTCTAGGGCAAGAACGACGAGCGGCTTGAATGGCCCTTTCGTCGGACAGTTATCGTCCAGTGCATGCACGTCACCGAGGACCGAGTGATCGTGGAGCAGACCGTGAGGCCGCCGAGCGAGGTGGAGAAGAGTCGCAAGTACACCAGCCGGCCGACCGAGAACAACAACCGCCGCGGCTGGGGGCGCAAGGGCATCCTGTCTCGCGATAAGCAAGCAGAGGCGGGCGTGCTGGCGTCGGACTGCATGCGCGTGCGCTACATCGTGCCGTGGGAGCCGTACCATGGCCCTGGCGCTGCCTCGACGGCACAGTAGCCTGTGTATGGCAACTTTGTATGGCCACGTCCGGCGAGGGATGCTGCCGCTGTGGACTATGTGACGGGAGAAGACAAATGTAAGACAAGGTCATAATATGGAGAGTCTTGCGCCTGCTAATCCAGTCAAGGGCACTGTTGACTGGAATGCGTGCAATGCAAGCAGCATGGCTGTTGCCAGTTGCATATAGGTGTCAAATGTATCCAAGATTACCGGGTCGAAAGATCTGTTACGGCCACTTGTCATGTTGTGCAGATGAAGTTGCTGGTGAGAGTACAATGGCATACTACCATGCCTTCCATACTATGACAGTCCAGACATTCACTGTGAGTGCCTAGTCTTATCTTCATAGCACCGCAGTCCTATCATCACTCAGCATTGCTGTGAAGTCGGCTCTATTCCAGCGTGGTGTACAGTGCTGCCTACTGCTGTGGTTATGTTGCATCAGCTTCGCGCTCCCACCATCAGTTCTGCTGCCTCGAATTCCGGAATACCGCATGATCATCCAGTCGTGCGTCGAGACTCGCGTTGCTGGTTTTCTCACGGTTGGCGACCGTCTTCCGGGCACGTTGTGTTGTTTCCTGCGTAAAACTGTCTTGGAATTGATGGCGTCCGTCTAGAATAGGCAGCTTGGCATTGCTACTGTCCATGGAAATGCAGTTCGAAACTAGCGTTGTCAGTTGGATTTGCTGTTTCCTGTCTCTAATTGAATGGCTTTTGCACTGAAGGAGGGGACTTGACCTGGATCACCCCTGGCTAAGTGGGCAGGTGCACCCAAGTCCTCTCTCCGCAGTGTAACACGTGAACAAGGCAGTGTGATAACACTGGCTCTTGATTCCAGTTGGCGTACTGTTCAGTTGTGCTCATCTGGTGATTTCGTCTATCTCCTTGTGTCTGTGTTGGGAATCGGCGTTGGCTGTTCAGATCCAAGAGCTCGCAGTTTACCCTAGTCTTTCCTTCGGTGCTCAGTTGTCTGGTGATGCACACACTATGTGCCACTAGGGTGACTTCTTTGGTGGATACAAATTACTACTGTCTTTTCTCTGGCGCATGAAAATTGCCACTCTCTTGTCTCTGGCGCATGAAAATTACTACTCTCTTGTTTCTAGCGCATACAAATAACTACTTACTATTCTCTGGAGCTTACTTACTATCATCTGGTTGGTTGATTTGGCGAACATTCAGTTCAGGTTGAGCTTGAGTGCAGTATTGTATATGTTGTCGTACACTTGATTTGAGTGTTGTGCATGACGTTTTCTATCCTTGTTCTGCCGGACTTCTCACCACCCCTTTGTTTTTCATCGTCGACGTCGCGTTTGGTATGTATGTCTGCTGGTGGCGCAGTCGGTATATCGGCTAAACACTTGATTCTTCTATGGAAACTGACCCAATTGCACTAACTCTGCTGCCACACCAGATCTGTATCTCTCACTCAACTCTCACTGGGTAGATCTTTCCCCGGCTTTGATCCCGTCTCAACCAGAAAACCGTACCTGCCATTGATTTTCTCTGCAACAGTTGACTCCTACTTTCGATCAGCAGCGTCTTCATGTATTCTTGTCTTGTGTTGCGTACGGTTAGTGGTCGTTGTTTTGTCCTACTTACAGCCATGTCGTTTCTTTAACAATACATGACCTCTGGAAGTGTATCTTATCATGTCCTGTGTTCTTCTTGACACAGACCTCGTGCATGCCAGGAACTGTGTGTTCTTGACATAGCATGTGCATAATGCCGGCCCGGCCCCCAAGACTTATTTTTGTCTTTTGTTTTGTTCTTTCGACTCGATGTAATAGACTTATTTTTGTCTTTTGTTTTGTTCTTTCGACTCGATGTTATAGACTTATTTTTGTCTTTTGTCTTTTTCGATGTAATTGCCTATACTTCACTTGACTAGTCTTGCTTGAAACTGATTATTTCCGGTCCTGCATGCTACCACGACAAACAATTATTGTCCTCGTTGTACTGCTGCGCGGTTTGTTAAGCAGTGGCACAGTTTGGTGGGCAGTGGCACAGTTTGGTGGGCAGTGGCAAAGTTTGTTGGGCAGTGGCAAAGTTTGTTGGGCAGTGACGCAGTTTGGTGGGCAGTGGCACAGTTTGTTGGGCAGTGGCACATTTTGGTGGGCAGTGGCACATTTTGGTGGGCAGTGGCACAATTTGTTGGGCCGTGGCACAGTTTGGTGGGCCGTGGCACAGTTTGGTGGGCAGTGGCACAATAAATCCAACCGTACTCGTACCCAACATCCAAAATACCGTCGCTTTGGTATCGTTTTGACGATAGAAAGCGCTATTTAGCGGGAGAACGAAACGGTAAAATGCTAACCATGTCCATACAGTAAAACCTGTGACTAACGACTGCCCCTTGGTGCCAGAGAAAGCGGTCTTTAGGGACAGGTGGTCCTTAGTTAGAGGATTGCATCGCACAACCATGAATGTGAGACCGTCCATGCCTGGCGAAGTGGTCTGTAGTACCAGGCTGGTCGCTAGTCACGGTGGTCTGTAGTACCAGGCTGGTCGCTAGTCACGGTGGTCTGTAGTACCAGGCTGGTCGCTAGTCACGGTGGAGGTAGTACCAGGCTGGTCGTTAGTCACGGTGGTCGGTAGTACCAGGCTGGTCGCTAGTCACGGTGGTCTTTAGTTACAGGTTTGACTGTAGTTTGTTGGGCAGTGACGCAGTCTGGTGGGCCCTAGGTCTGCGAACTGCAGCATGGTGCAAACCTGACTAACGCGATGGGATTTCATTCACTGTGACACCGTCTAGTTCTACATTCTAGAATGACAAGCGCTTTAGCCGGATTTCATCCCTCCTGACCTGCCTGCACGGAGCCCAGCCCTGTACGGTGTACCTGATCTGAAAAGGTACTGTCATTTCCCCTGTCTCTACTGTGACATATCTACATGTACATGTAGGTATACTAATCGATGAGCATCTAACGTTCCTCCCACAAGTAGAGAAAGGTGTGTTCAGCGGTTTTCGCTAAACCAGCCCGGTTTGCACATGGCCGCCGCAATTTAGAACTTTCTACTTCTCAGTATACAATCTACTCTAGAATATGTATCTAGTATTGACTGAGTACGAGGTCAATAATATAGGAAATAAAAGCCGAGTAAAAGACCGGGGCGAAGCCGAGGTCTTTTACGGGTTTTTTAATTTCCTATACTGTACTGACCAAGTACGAAGTCAATATTAGATTTATCACGACAAACAGTCCGTATTTCAAATTCCAGAACGATAACCTCATGAATCCCGGTTTTATGATTGCACAACCGTTGCACCACCACCTACTCATGCAGTGACAATGCTGCACTAGGCACCGTTCAACTGCGCAACCCTAATAAGCAGTCAAATATAAGCAGTCAATAATGATATAGCCCTGAGGAGTGAAATATGCAGGAATATTTGACTGCTTAGGTATGGCAAAAATCTATGTGAGTCAATACAAAGGGAGTGATAAACTACTGTATTATCTCTTATATAAGCACGGCCCTTTATTTTTTCAATGTACCTCCGCCCCGTGCTAAATGGAGACGTTCCTTTATTAGAGACTGTTCCATTATTATTTAAACCTCAATTCAGAGGCATGTTGCCATGGCAAATTCATGTCAGACACACACATTTCAGGGTTTTTTCGCCGGTACAGATAATGAATTTACACAGTGTGCTGATAATGGAGACTGAGCACTTTATTTTTTGAATGCCGCCCCAAGGTGTTCTATTATTGGAGACTGTGCTTATTATTAGAGATAATACGTACATCGTATGCAAAGAAGCTCTAGGGCATCATGTGAGTAACGTTCCACCAGGGAAACTCTGAGGGTTTCTTTCACATAAAGGCACACACCGCCACCTTTCTTGCAGGGGCCGCATGCTGTGAGACACGAGCAGCTTGTCATGCATGGTCTATCTCTACGGTAAAGGATGGTTCCACGGATATGCACTTCCAGGTCAGAGACACTGTTATCTAGCCAGGTCTCGGATACGGCTAGTATATCCAGCTGCTGTTCTATCATTATACTTTCAACTTCACACAGTTTGTGGCGTAGACTGCGTATATTGATGTGGCCAATGTTAAAGGGGAAGTTAAGGCAAAAAATTAATTTTTGCCTTAACTTCCCCTTTAACATTAAAAAAAATTTCACCAGTTGTAGTCTTCGGGGTGCTGAGTCGAATGGTCGTGGTCCGAGGAAGCTGAGATGCTCCCTTCCTACTTGAATCTCAATCGAACTCGCGCACTTCCACCGAAACTGGGTGACTGCGCCCTACTAGATGGGGATTTGTATGCAAAATGTCACTAAAAGCGCCATTTCGTTCTTATAAAAGCACGGATGACCACCATTGGCCCATATGTTGTACTCTTTTGGACGCTGAGTCGACTGGCTTTGGTCCGAAAAGGCTGTGATGCAGCGTTTCTCCTTTATTCCCAATCGAACATGGTTGAACAAGTGGTCACGTGCTCCTGCGTACACCAGTCACCTGGTCACGGTGCCTGCAGGGTGCAACTACAGTCGACCTACCCTTATAACGATAACCTCTATAACGATATTACCCTTATAACGATATTTTTCTGCCAAACCAAATTACTCCATTGACTTGTGTATACAATGCCTTACCTCTATAACAATATTGCTATAACGATATTACCCCTATAACGATATAAAATGGGCTGACCAATCGACATTTTCCATTTTATAACAATATCTAGCAGGGAATATGTAGAGCCCACTGTCCAGGTAGGGCAATCTTCACTTGATAAGTCGCTGGGACAGGACGAAATGCAATGGGGGCACCAGTGGGCACCTTGCTGTGTACATAATGTGCATGTACGTCAGTTTTTTATTCTATGAAGAGTGTAAAAAATGAACGAAATCCATGCATTATGACGTATGTGTATGAAATGAACCAGTTACCCCTATAACAATATTACCCTTGTAACAATATTTCTTGGTGTGACGCAAATATCGTTATAAGGGTAGGTCGACTGTACTTACTTACTAGCCTGCTTGACCTTTTTTGGGTGCAGTCCTGTCACTCGAGTTGAACTCGAGTTGAACCTTGGTGTGAAAGTTGTCGCCTGCTGGCGTGGTGACCAGGTGATTTGGGCACCCAGGAGCACGTGACAGCGTCAGAGGCAGACAGAAAGAAAAGAGGAAACGTACAAATTAATGGCAGAGGAGTGTTATCGTGTCAGAGGCGACTGCATGTTGCAGGCTTGGCGGGATACCAGCAGGAGCGCTGCACTGGGGCGAAGCATACAGAGTGCGGCGGGGACAGATGGAGGCGAGCGCAGCTCCATGGCATGGGGTCCGGTGCCGGGCGTGTGCCTGCGTGCGTGCACAGTGAGGGAGCTGGTACGACGGGTGGAGGTGGCCAATTTCCAGCTTGAGGCCAGGACGAAGACGAAGACGACTGGACGATGTGCCGTGGCAGGATAGCGGGGTACCCAGGGTGGCCGGGAGGGTGGCAGGGGCCACAGCAGCTCCGAGGCGGATCCAGTGACGAGTGGTGGTGAGGCTCAAGTTTTACATCAACAGCCGGCGATTGACGGGATCCCGAGAGTTGAGGCGATCAGGACACTGCGGCGGGCCGAGCTCAGGGATGGCATGCTCAAAACTCCGAAGAGCGCAGCGTCTGGGGTCACCAATGTAGGGTTTTACGTCGGGCCCTAGACGACGGCTGCTTTGGCCAACCGGACAACGAAGAAGTTTTATTTCTTGCGCATGCGTTTGTAGAATGACGTAATACTCAGTGAGTCAGGTCGCTACATGTATACACAGTTATGACCAGACTTACCAATGACTATTACTATTAGTCCATCGGCCAAATCTCAGAAAGGGCCTCTTTCGACGAAGGTGATGCACTGAAGCTCCAACTAAACGCCCTTTGGCACACTAGCTCATGAGACCCCATAGAATACGAATCCGATTGTTGGACGTTGCCAATCCAGTCCAGGATAGTCGAACTGGGTCGAATACCTTCTTCCGATTTTTGTAATTTCGCCCACCATTACATCTTTCTCATCGACTTTTTTTCGCTTGGCGAATGTTCTTGAGCCGCTGAGCAGAATCTACGCACGCTCGAACACTTGAAATGCCTGCATGTTGACGGTTCGCAAGATTCTAGCGAGCTTGGTGGAAATCTATTATTTATTTTGACATTTTTGGGGGAATCTGAATTAGAACGGTAGAAGCTCATTCGGAGAAGACGGCGTGTCGCCGCTGTCGGATTGTCGCTACTGTGTTTCAGACGTATTTGCTTGAACGTGCTATTGAGGATGGACAGAAGATGAAGTGACGGCTTTCTTGAACACGGACGTTGTGTCTACATTGTAGCTGAAACATCTTATATCTCATCTGGCGTCTAGAACGCAATTATTATGAGTTGTGAGTGCCAGCTGAGCTGAACACAAGCTGGACACCATTCGTCAGCTGGGAATTTGCATCGAAGCTCTTGATAGCCACGATAAGCATAATTATACAGAGGTAACCTTGTTTGACTCAATACGCATGCAGGTGTCCGTGATACCACTTGTGGCACTACAATGTAAATGGTGCAAAATTGATGCAACAGCGAATATGTACTTCGTACAATCACGAACAATTGTAAGGCAAGTGTTCATGCCTGTCATAGAAGAATTTCAGCCTGGAAGTCTTGTTGTCATGGTCATAAATAATACAGGACTTGAGTTGGCTCTGGACATAAACACACTTGTGGTGAATACGGTCATTATTGCGAGAAAAATATTTGCCACTGTATGTTAACACCTGATGCCGCACTACACGCAATATTTCATGTACATGTATGTGAGACTCAATTGCATCCACAAGGCCGTAGATGCATGTAAGCACACAATGCTGTACAGTATAAGTAGTACTGAGTCGACATGTGGTGCCTTCCTGCTGCACATGCACATGCGGCAAGTTGGCAACGACAAATGACCTATCTGCACC